GACCGAGCCGTCGCAGGCGCCGGGCGAGACCCTCTTCGACTCGACATCTGCCCCCGCCGCAGGAGGCCAACCGCCAGAATATCTCTCAACCGTAGCAGCAGCAGTCAGCGACCCAGCCGACCTCCTCGTCCCCGCCAATCTGCAATTCACATCCCCCGCATCGCCTGCCTCCGGGGGACTGGCCTCGCCGCCGCCCCCGTCGGGCGCCGGCAGCAAGGCGCGCAAAGCTCGCCCCGCGGCGGCGGTGGGCCTCGACGATTACTTCGCCGAGGGCGAGCAGAAGAGCCGCGAGCTCGACAATGCGCCCAAGGCCGCGGCCGGCGGTGTGCCCCCGCCGCCCAAAGCTGGAGCTGGGCCGCCGCCGCCGAGGGCTGCCGCGTCTGCTGCCGCCGCGAAGGAAGCGGCCGAGTGATCGTCGCGTCTCCCGATCCGAAGGGTAGGGGAAAACGGGGGCCGGTTTTTTCACGAACGCTGTGATTTTTCTTCGCATTGCTCACTCTCTCCCCCCCTCTCTCGTGCGTTTTCTGTGGATGGGGTCTTGTAGCGGTCGTGGAAGTCCTTCATCTTCTCCGTCAAGCTGGATGATGATGAAATCCTCCTTTCATCCACAGTCGTCGGAGGAGTGAACCCCGATCACGGTCATGTCATGTCATGTCATGCCCCCCCCCATCCTGCACGATCGATCGTACGGGACAACAACGGCATGCGGACATGCAGTCGGAGGATGAACCCCCGGAGCGAAGTTCCCTCCGCAAAAGCGCGGATGACGAACACGGAATTCAAAGGCCACCATCGTTCCCCCCTCCGCCCTTGCGCCGACTCTCGTCCACGGCAGATGAGTCAACACCCGCCCGGCTCGTCGACGGGCAGGCAAAACACAAACCAACCGAGTGTCTGCGATCCAAATCGAGGGCGATGTTCTGTCTTTCTCTCTCTCTCTCCCTCCAGCAGTGCGCCTTTCCGGCCGTCTCATCGAGGAAGGAACATCGTGTCGGGGGAGGGTGCGTTTTCCGTCTCCGGCATCTGGCGGGAGGGAAGTTCTGGGGGGGGGGTTCTGAAATCAACCATCATCACGACGACGACTTCATTCGAGAGAGAAATCAGATTCTACATCGAGATGTGGCGGAGCGCCGGAGGGGCAGGGAGGAACAATCCCCTTCCAGGCGGAGCAATCGCATCGAGGGCGTTTCGTCTCTCATTGAAAAGGAGGAAAGACACCACCCTCCCCCGGGAGATTCTTCACGCTGTGATCAGAAGATGCAAAAAAAACAAACATACATAAAAACGACGCGTGAGCTCAATATCTCTATCGCCATGTACGTAGGTTGACACTTCATGTGCAGCGTTGATACCTTGCATCGTCATCATCGTCGTCGTCATCGTCG